ATGACACAGATATCCCCAGTCTTAACCCATCAATAATTGTTTGTGTCAATCTAATTCCTCATAACTAATTCATTAAACCACTGAAAATTCCTCGAGTATACAATGATTATTTAATTGATTACCCTAACTCTGCTACATGTGATCTCATCTCAAATGATCCATTATCAATTATTTGTTCAACCCCCTAGGAAAATCTGTCTCCCCTTCTGTTGTTCCTGTCCCCCCTGTAAATGTCATATTTGAGTTTTTAGCCAAGACAATCACGGTTACATCAAATGTTCCCTCATTTAATGGTATTTACTACCTAATATAACTTCCCTAAATGAGAATAAATCCCCTGCCTTCCTCTACTATCCTTATATCATTACTGGATCAATGATAATAATTGTAATAACTATTTCACATTAAATTGTGCCTTTTTTCTGATAATGTTATAATTGTAGCCTACTCCATCACTTTAGTTTAAAATAGAAGTTTGTTTTATGTAACAATTCCAGAACCCACCACAGGCTGGCGCTATTCCCCCATCACAACAGCCAATGTCACTTGCATCCACGTAACCAAAATACATTATCGTTCTAAAATGTACCAAAAATTTATATTTTCCCGCTAACCCATTTCAGTTCGCTATTCAATTTATTTAACTGTTCTCTCTGATTATGCCCTAATTAATAAAACAAATACTTGCTATCGTTGATAAGCATACATTTAATGATGTTCCTACCATCTGAACTGTACTGTCTCTCACCCTCCCCTTGCTCCTTCGGGGAAAGTGCATGGTAACCTTATAACATATTTTCATAGACCTTTCTAGAATACTTCTATTTAAGCTATCTAATTCAAACTTTCACATTTCTCAATCCACATAGTAATCTAGGTATATAGCCCCACTGCGAAAGCTTTGTCTACTGTCCCTACCTGTGTTCGAACCAGGGACCTTTTACATACATCGCCAGGCACTCCACACCATCTGCGATGCTCTCAAAGTAACTACTCCCAGTTCATAGAGCAAGTGACGTCACCAAATGAAAATCGCAGTAGCTTTCACCTCAGCAAAAAACTCTCTCTCCCTTCACCCATTCCCTATTGAATAAGTTCGTTTTTCTATTTAACCCCAAAACACGCTACAAATAGTCCATTCAACATTACCAAACTAAATACTCAGTAGCATCCGGTCACCACCCACACCAGCCGTTGACTTCGCCTCATGCCACCGAAATGCCAAATAAACCATACTAGTTCAATGGAGCCCCCTATTGGTTCTCCACTATTGATACATTACTTCCATAACCACATTAGTTATGGTCCGATTAGCCATTAAACCTTATCACATGATCAAACAACGCCACAACCTTAAACTCATATGGGGCGGCAGGCAGCTTAGTGATCAATAGCGCCGCGCCAACAACCGAGAGGTCGCCGGTTCCAATCCCCGAGCCGACCAGGCGAAAAATCTGCCGATGTGCCCTCGAGCAAGGCACTCAACCCCAATCGCTCCTGCAAGTCGCTCTGGACAAGAGCGTCTGCCAAATTACAAAAAATGCAAATGTAAATATTCTCCACTTTCCCACCCAAGTTCAGAATATCCATCGTCAGAAACCCCCAGGCACCTCTCAAATAATCACCCCGTGGTGTTCCCAGCCAACTCCCAGTCTTTCCTGGCTCCAAAAGCCACACTTTCGCTCTCTCCAGCCCCTCCCCTCGCAACTCTCTCTTCAGCTTTTGAGGAGCTGTGTTTCTTGTTAGTGTTTCCAATATTATGTCGTTATTTAAGGTACTTTAGTCTATTTATTTAAATCAAATCATTCCCACCTAATTAGTTAAAGTTGGTGCACGTTTATATTTAAACGATAAACCGAATTATTTCAGTCTAATTGTTTAACCAGTATTTTGCAGGGTCAAACATCAAACATTACATCAAATAATCAACAAAAAAGCCTCAACCCAAGCATCTATAACCAGAATTATGCTATGTCTAACACCAAACGGCACAGTTCAAACATATCAGCTCAACCGTTTCAGTTCAGTCACACAATTCATCACTTTAGCTTTATGTTCCCAATTGTTTTTAACGGGTTATACGGTTTAAGCAACCACAAACCCAACAGTTATTCACAAATTATAAAGTTTGGACAGCCACAGACGTTTTAATTCCCAATTAGTTTTCTATCAAGGTATACAGGTTTATCATTCACACTCTCATGCATACAACAGTCGCACTGTCTAACTATTTATAGTACCAACAATAGGTACGTTGCCACGCCCTTACCCCTTTCGTTTAACCTACTCTATTTCTTATGTTCCCATTTACACCCTATTGGTGCAAAGACAATAAGTTTATACTCTCTACTAATTTGCAGTATCTCACTTATGTTCCCATTTGCACCCTATTGGTGCAAAGACAATAAGTTTATACTCTCTACTAATTTGCAGTATTTCACTTATGTTCCCATTTGCACCCTATTGGTGCAAAGACAATAAGTTTATACTCTCTACTAATTTGCAGTATCTACCCATGTTCCCAGTTGTCCCGGCCAATACCTAAGTACAACGACAAATGGCGATATATACTGTCTTCTAAGTTTTTAGGAGTGCTGTCCTATGATCCCAACTATATTCAAACTATGTTCCCAATTATATCCATCCCAGACCGATACAATGACAATAGATTTTTATAGAATATAGTGACAAATAGCGTACACACTCGAGTGCTGTCCTATGATCCTAACTATATCCAGACTATGTTCCCAATTATATCCAGCCCAGACTGATACAATGACAATAGATTCATTAGTCTATGTTCCCAATTATATTCAGCTCAGACTGATACAATGACAATAGCTTTTTATGGAATATAGTGACAAATAGCGTACACACTTTTATCCAATAATTCCCTATATCCCCAGCCCACCCCCGGTGGTACCTAGTCTGGGGACTTCAGTATTTTCCCAGAACCTCTCTTCTGTGGAACAATACTCAATATACCATGGCTTTTAACATCACATTCACCACAGGTTTACATGTCACAATATGGTGCTTATCTACTCACAATAGTTTCATAATTTAGTTCACTTACATCAAACAGGTGTTTCACAAAATTAATTTGGATAAAGCCAATGTGCAGAACTTTAGTTATAATAGGTGTCTGCTTACCTTTTTAAGTAGTCCGGACGCTTTGTGAAACACACGGTTCGACGACAGTGATTTTCAATAGGCTGGGTGAATTCCAGCGAAGTCCCTTCTACCAGATCACAGTCGGTGGTCACCAATTGTTAAGTTGCGTCAATTCAAATCTGGTATTTTGGACAAAAGAGGTCAACACGACTTCTAAGATATACTAGTATTTTAATTAATGCAAAACCTTCAATGGTAAATATGATGTTCGTATATACGGGTCCACTGAAATACCACGCAGGGCAGACCGAGAACTAAACCATTGTTTACAGGTTATTTCTCAAATACTCTGACAGAGAGTTCCCACCTCTTCTGTTGGCCAATCAGAGTAAAGGACTGAGTGTGGTTTAGACTTTACTCAGCCAATCCGTTGGCGCACGGGTTGGTCCCAACCCCTCGGCGCTCCATTTGTTGCACTCTGTTGCCAGGCATAAGTTTATCATAACCTGTGGAGTTAGCACTTTTTTTGCAGTACCCATGTCCTTGGAAGGTTCACAGATCACAAAGAAGCAGTGTTCGTATCTGTGAGAAATACAAGTCTTATCTATAAGAAATACAAGTTTTATCTCCTCCTAGCCCCTAACATGAATCACAGCCTGTTATGTGAAACAATTTATATCAGTATAGTACACCCATGGTCATCATTAATGCATTCCTTCTAAGATATTAATCACATACAGATCCAATTATGAGAAAACAAATCCCAACAAAGCCAACAGTCCAATATTCTACAACACTGCTGTGCGTACACATTTTGAACTACGATAAACGTGATCTTTTTAACCATATACATTTAGAAACACCCCATTTTCACATTTGTTGGTGCTGGAGATTAGGCTTAAAAAGTGGCAGAATTGACCTTTAACGCAAAATGGAGAGGCATGCCTAATTGAATGAAATACTTCCAAAATAAAATGTTTCACTTTGAGCTTGTAAAAACAGGGGGAATTTGTTTGGTTTATTTTAATGTGGAACATGAGTCGCCTCAAGTATGTCCCAAAGTGAAGGGTTTATTGATAATCTCACCACTCTGGAAGTCACCCTCAGTTTCATGAGCAGTATGTGATAATGGAGGGCCCTCCGAGTAAGTTGGTATGGGCGAAGGGGTGGTTTGGGATTCACAGATCATTTGGAACCCAATAAATCTCCTTTCTCCTGAAGTGTGCAATGCACACTCCCAGTGATGGATTTAACAATGGTGGAAACTCTCCTGACAATGCTTACACTAAACCAATGCTTTTAAAGCCATGAGATGGTGTGCAAGTGCACACAGAAATGTGGAGAAGTGGGCTGCAACCAAGAAAACACTTATCTGCAACATTCTGAATGGATAGCCAATGCATGAGTGGTTTTGAAAAGACTGGCAAGAGTCTCTAGCCAATACGAACATGTGCCCAGTTCGACTTGGACTGAAATAGGATCTCAATTGCGTTGTCGTCGCATATTCTCCTTTTCAAAATCCATTGGAGGAGGATTCAAGGTCCTTTCAGACCGCCGCCAACGACATGAGAAACGTAGACATTAAGGACAAGGGAAGCAATGTTTTAAAGCTAGTAAAGGTTTCAGACTCAGCCCACGTGAATTGAAAATAAGGCGATGACGCTATAGCAATATACAGTCCTGCTAGATGGGAGGGGACATTCAAGAATAAGGAGCTGAGGTAAATTGAAAAACTTTTATTTTGTAAAACTTTACACACAAAAATAAATCATAGAAACAGTAAGAACTCCTTTTTAAAACTGGATAATAACACATTTGACAAAACAAACAAGTCAAGTGATCCTGACCAGAACTCTGCCCCAAAAGACTTGGACTGGCACTGAGCATCATCGTCCACGTAGGTGGTTTGCGGCAGTGTGGGTTGTAACGATCATGGCGAGGTTGATAGGATTGAATGCAGGGCGGAAGAAATCGGGGCTGAAGACGGGGAAGTGTCTTTCATTGGTTGGGATGTGGTCGTACGTGTAGAGGTGACGACCAAGATGAACGTCGTAGAATGACATGCGTCGCTCCTGCCCGTCGAAGTACACACCCACATGTGCCTGTAAAGTGTAAAGCTCATTAATAAAAAGTTACTTAATGAAGTAAATGAACATTGTATTTGAAAAAATTGCCCCTCTGGGATATTTATTACATTTGACTTAAAATTAAAGCTGTGGATATAATGTCAAATATCTAAACTTGTATCTTCACATACTCATGATACTTCGAAGGCTAGCTCCAAAGACATGCATGAAGCCAACTAAAACAACCTATTTCACCATGTCAAATATCCCAGTGAGATTTCACCCTCGATTGGCAACGAGACATTTAAAAGTATTTATTTTATTTAAACACCTTCCATAGATATGTACTAGACTGGTGAGCACTTTGGGCCAAGTGTGCCCTGTATACAACTATGCTCTACATACCCTTATCATTTGTGTTACAACAGCCATAGGGGTGATGGCAGAGTTGGGGGTCGCGGCAGGGTTGGGGGTCGTGGCGGGCCAAAGCTTCCCCTCACGGTGTACCAGGACCCAGAAGCCCTTCTCAGGGGTGAGATTCACCCCTCGAGATGTCATGGAGGACTCAGTTGCCACACCAATAAACCACACATCAGATCCATTTCCAACCCAGTCCTCCACCTCAACCTCCCAGTATGCTCGGTGGCTGCTGAACCCCTGGGTGGCGAGGACACAAGGCACCTGGGTGAAGCGCTGGGCAGACAGGGGGAACTTCCTATAGATCTTGCTCCGGTCCACTCTAATCTCACAACCACGGGACCCCCTTCTGAACAGGAGCGATGGGTGGGCTGTGCTGGGGTCAGGTGTCACCTCAACTGAGAGGTGGAGGGATAGGGGTAGAGGAAAACTACAATCAATTGTTGAATTCATTTTTCAAAGTTTAGCATACATAAGGTTAGCAACACACCATACACTAAATATAATACACAACATGGAGGCAGACTCAGGATTACACATTTGCTCACCTGTGAACTCTTTAACCAAGGAAATCTCTGAGGGATAAACAGATGTAAAAAAAATATTAGAAAACATACAACTGCAAATATGTAATGTAGTACATCTGGGCCCGTATTCATATGTTGTCATACTAGGGGTGCTGATCTAGAACCAGAGGAGTATCCTACTAATCAGGTTTGAGGAGTTGTGAGGTATCTTAGGTCAGCTCCGAGTTCATCTTGGGATAACTCATACGAATGTGACTCACCTTTAAGTCATGTAAATGTTTATGGCAACAAACCCTTCAGAACCAACCTGCTCCCGGGCAGGCTAACTCCATTTATCCTGAAAGAAGTGTCGGAGTTGAGGACCAGCATTTCTAAAGCCCATTTCCCACCATAGCCTGATGAATTTGCAAGACAACCAACTTCATTTTTATTTTGGCACAAATGAAAGTGTGGCACTGACTAGCCCATGGATTGACGTTTCAATGAAGAGTTTGACGTTCGACTGGCCAAGTGCGACATGCATGCGCAGTTACAAGCCTGCTAGAGTTAGCGTTAGGCGGATGAGCAATAGCCAACGTCATAGTACAGATGAAGCCTGAGGTGGAATTTGAAGCCAACTTGCTTTAAAAAAACCTGAGTAGATCTAGCTTGCTTCATAGGATACCCCTCTGCATATACACAGAGAATGCCAAACATTAGGAACACCTTCCTAATATTGAGGTGCATCCCCCTCTTGCTTTCAGAACTGCCACACAGAGATGCTGGCCCATTGTGACTACAACGCCTCCCACAGTTCTCAAGTTGGCTGGATGTCCTTTGGGTAGTGGACCATTCTTGATACACAGGAAACGGTTAAGCCTGAAGAAACCAGCAGCATAGCAGTTCTTGACACAAACCGGTGCACCTGGCACCTACCATACCACGTTCAAAGGCACTTAAATATTTTGTCTTGTCCATTCATTCTGAAAGGCACACATACACAAGCCATGTCTCAAATGTCATCATTCATCTAAGCTGATTGAAGTGGATATAACAAGTTACATCCATAAGGGATCATAGCTGTCACCTGGTCAGTCTCATGGAAAGAACAGGTGTTTTTAATGTTTTGTATTCTGTGTATAATCTGACTCTTTGGCTGCGTTCACACAGGCAGCCCAAACCTGATCTTTTTCCACCAATTGGTCTTTCGGCCAATCACATCAGATCTTTCTCAGAGATGATTGGTCAAAAGACCAAATAGTGAAAAAATATCAGAATTGGGCTACCTGTGTAAAAGCAGCCCAATTGGTCTTTTGACCAATCAGATCAGGGGTGCGTTCCTTTGCACAGGCGTTGCGGACGAATGCCAGGATAAGAATTTTAACTATTAGCTGACCACATGTTTTAGGACTCCAGTGCCCGGCGATGAAGTGGCATGCTACCATTGGGCAATGCATGCAAAGTCTGAGCAAGGGAAAGCAACCCAGATCTTATGCCAATAATTGGGCAATAGATCCGAATTGGGCTTCCTGTGTAAAGGCATCCATTAAGATTTAAAAGGCTGAATGGACTACAGACCTGAGCCAGCATTGCCATTTGTAGACAAGTAGGCCATCTTGGATAGTTCGGCGATGTGATTCATTAAATTCTTCAGAAGGTTTCCGTATAGATCCGTGGGGATGTTGACGCTGAATGGTCCTCTGTTTCCATCTGGAGGAGTAGAAGGGAGAGAGGGAAGGATCTAAAAGGAGAAAGAGCGAGAGATTTAATGAATTCATGGAGTTAAACATACATGCATGATACAAGCATGTTGATCCACCTGCAATGATGGCAGAGTCTAGATTCTCCATGTCTTGGATCTAAAAGCATTAGATTGGTGTAAGCATTGGCTGGAAGGCGTTTCCACCATAGTTGCATCCATGACTGGTAGTGCAAGACAAGCGCATACTTCGGGAGAAGAGTACAATCGATTCAGGCAGTGTTCGAGAAAATCCAAACCATGATTCATCACAGGGCGAAATGTGACTGACTGATCTACAAATAACATGTAGTTGGGTCATTGTACAGATTCGGTGACATTTCAGCATTGTCAGTGTCCCAAGATGTACTAGTGTTATAACTTGTCAGAACATTTATCAAACTACACTTAAATTACAACATTTCAAAGTTTTACATGTTTTTAATATGGAGTAGAGAATATGATTTTAAACAGAGATGAATTTCAATACTTATATATGTTTGCTTTTCTTAGGAGTATTAAGAATTTCGCCTGTCCCTATTGACCATCATGCAAATGGCGTGACTCATTTTGAGTACACAGTGTTAAATAATAATGCTTTTTTTTTGTTAAATTAATTGTATATGCCCCCTTATTATGCATAATCCATTTTCTCAGCATAAGACATTTTATTTTCTGAGAAATTCAGGCTTTTACCCCTGTCCTTTTATTTCTTTCAACCCCGTAACGCAACAATACCCCCACTCACAATTAAATAATGGTTTGATCCTGTGGACATCATTTATGAGGAAGTGACATCATACAAGTCTTCAGAGAAGCCTGGTGTGACAAGTGGTAAGCTGCTCTCTCACTTTTTATAAATATTTCATGTTTTTTAAGCACATATGGGCTTTGTCAATCTCAGGTATTCAACTCTGTTGGGGGGGGGGGGGGAATTCATAGGTAAGATTTTACCAAGAATTGTTTTTATAGCTATGAAGTATAACAATGTATTTTGTTGAATAAGGCCATGTGGCACACTGCTAGCTGCTAGCATCCCGAATTAGGAACAGATTAGCACAAAATCTTCAACCCTGTCACATTCAACCCCATCACATTTTTCAATGTTACGGGGTTGAATGGCTGTTACAGGGTTGAATAGCTGTTAAATCTTAGCAATATTTAATGTATATTGCTTAATACCAATCATATTTTCTTGTTGAATGTTTGTTGTTTACGGTTTTACAGTATCAACTAAAAGTACGAGGAATTTTTGAAAATAATAACTTAAAAAAAGTGACAATTAATTTGTTCTCTCTCCTATATACATTGACATATTTAGGAGTATTATCTGCAAGTTCATGTTCATTTTACTACATAGTGATTAAAAGGATACAATATTTAGTCTTGAAGAGTAAGCAGTTCATTGACTTGACCTTGACCTACAATTTCAGATTCAACAATGGAAAAAACAGCAGCAGAAAGGAAACACACAGAGAGGAAGGTGAGGGACATCCGCGCGCCGGTGGTCAGGTAATTCTCCTGGACATGGGAAGGGAGCACCAGATGGTGTTGGTGCAACCCTAAAAAGAACCGCAGACAGGCTGATAAGTCAAGGATGTGACATCCCAAATGCTCATACTCTGTACAGGGTCTTAGAGGAGAACAACACTGCCATCAAGCTTTACTTCATTGAAGACGAGGCCATCGAGAAAGCCGTCCAATGTATGCCAGCCAATTTGCCAGTAGTTCCATCCACAATGCGGATCCACCAAGTTGTTTGTGTGGCTGCAAGGCAAATTGCCTACCGTGATGTAAGCTGTATGTGCACAGTCCACAACAAGAAACTGGAATGCCAGTGTTTCAATACACAACATTTCACATTTACCCCTAAAGTTACATCAGTCGTGTCACAGAGGGAGGTTGATTGGGCAAATCCAGACATATGCGGGAAATGGTGCGTGGCCAAATATGATGACGATTTCTATCCCGGAATAATTCTAGCCACAGATGAATCCCATGTGCAGGTCAAATGCATGTGCTGTGCTGGACCAAATAGGTACTTCTGGCCACTTCTTGATGATATCCTGTGGTATCCATTTGAGGACATCTTGGAACACATTGATCCCCCTAAACCGGTGACTTCTAGGCACATGGAAATACAGAAGGAAGTGTGGGCTAGGCTCTCTCAGTAAAAATGGTGAACAAACTGTAGGCTTACCTATAGGTTATTAATGTTAAGATGTTTGCTTAATGTTCAAACATTCAAACAACAGACATTCCTGCCATTACTCTGGATATTTCTATGAAATCAATTAAAATGTTGTAACTGTTGTTAGTTTATTAATGTGTTTTAATCTGTCTAGATTTCATCTTGATTGTTTAAACTTTAAAAGCTATGTTGACAGTAGTTTAAAATGTTAAAAAATGGCAACATGTGACCTATATAGGTTAACAATGTTAAGATGTTTGCTCAATGTTCAGACTCCTGCCTTTATCAGATGGATATTTTTATGAAATCAATGAAATGTTGTTACTGTTATTAGTTCATTAATGTGTTTTACTCTGTCTAGCTTTCATCTAGATTCTTTAGATTTTAAAAGCTATGTTGACAGTAGGTTTAAAAATGTTTAAAATGTTTAAAAAATGGCAACATGTTAGTGATCTCAAAAGATAAAACATGACACGTGATGCTTTTCACTCAACCCTGTTACATGATTTTCAACCCTGTTGCGGTGCATTCATCCCTGTTACGAGATTATTTTTTTACATTTTTGTATTAAATACACAAAATATAACATCAATAGTGTTTTTATTGTGTGTATTAAATCAGGGTAAATAAGGCTATTTCAATTTTGTCAGGAATTACGCAGCATTTTTGCACATTTCTTGCGAAAATGTGGAGTTAGATTAGAAATGTCTTCATCGTAAACTGGAAAGGATGGTGCTGGTCAGTTTCTTGATTTTCTCTTTAATTACAATATGCCATTATTTACAAGGGACATCTAAACTGTGAGATTATGCCAGAAGCTGATCTCAAGCTTATTGGAAAAATGAATAGTTGAATAACAAAATGACTGTGACGGGGTTGAATTAAATTGGGACTTGTTTGAGAAAATAATATAGAATAATAACTTAATACTCTACATTGAGATGGGAAAAGGTATTTTCTATCAAGTACACACATTACTTTGTCACATCAAATAAAAAAAAGCTTAAGATTAATGTTCATTGTTTCATCCTCCTCAATCACAAAAGGCACCGAATCTGTAGAATGACCCAGTTATTTATGATATAAAGTGATATGCAGATCAGTCTCTCGACTCAAGTCGGCTGCAATGTCGAACACGCCCAATAACTCACATTAAGAAGCTCAAAGGAGTCTGAGGAGCCAATCACCCGCTCCAGCGCAGCGCCTCTGCTCATCAGAGCTGTGATGTCATCTTCAAGCGCACGGCTCCAATCCGAAGCTGTGCTCTCCAGCTCGTCCACCCTCCTCCGGGCCTCAGTGTTGTAGCGGTCACAGCTCAGCCCCACCTTGCTGATCAGGGCTAGGCGGAACGCCTGCAAGGGGGGCAAGTAGACTAAACAGAACTGTGTTGGATTTTTCAGTGATGTGATACATTCTGAACGTTGCAGACAAACGCAATAAATAGCACAGACACGATTTCCTGATCCATCTGACAGGCACTTTACATGACACATTTCTATCTGAATGTTCTGCAACATTACACCCCACCTCAAAGACCGTGGTCTTCATTTTTCAGTAGCACAACAATTTGTAACCCCCCATGGGAAGTTTGTTGGCATGTTCTACAATTGAATGCTATGGCGAAAGACTGCAAAAATTACAACAGGTGCAAAATAGCCAATTCAAATGTAGAAAACTCACCTTACAGAGTAGGACTGAAGAGTTTAATTTCTCTGCCTCTTTCCGAGTGGCCTTCAGCTTATCCTTGACCACTGCCTGGTCTTTAGTCAGCTGAGCCTGAAGTGAAGACCATAGATGTTAGCATTAGTGCTGGAACAAAAACCTGCACACACACAGGGTCCCCAGGGGCATATTCATTAGGTACCAAATGAAAGAAATCCCAACGAAAAATAGCCAAAACCCAGGGTGGGGGGGACCGACTACCCAAACTAGTCCAATAGGAAACAATGTTCTGTTCCAAATTTGTTGTTATGGTGTGTGGTAATGAACACAGCTCAGGGTCACAGCAAAACATTATGCAACGGAAAACAAAAATAAGCATTTATTGAAGTTCAGGTAGTCCCTCCTGGTTTGTCAGTTTGCTTCCATTTCGTGCCTAATCAATACGTCGCTGGATTGATTAACCAATGCTCCAAAACTCATTCTTACCTTTTGGGCCAAGAACTCTACCTGCATAGTCACAACTTGGTGGGCCGGCGCCTGGTGAGCGTCACACTCCACACACAGCATGGTCTTGTCGGTGCGGCAGTAACGCTCCAGGAGCCTCTCGTGGTTCGGACACATCCTCTCCTCCAGGTTAGCCAGGGGTCTGACCAGCTGGTGCCTGGAAAATCGGGCATTGTGGACCCTTGCATGCTCCAGGCAGTACGACGACAAACACACCAGGCAGGTCTTGACGGCCTTGGGCATCCTGTCTCCTATGCATACGTCACAGGAGACCTCTCCCGGAGCCATAGTTGGCTGGTCGACGGCCTTGTCCCCTTCTCCACTTGCCCCCTTGAAGCTTTCCACGAGGTCTCTCAAGACTATGTTGACCAGGATGGTGGGGGTAGGTGTGAAGCTAGTCTTGCACAGAGCACAGATTACAGGGTCTCCACTGCTGGTCCAATAGCACTCGAGACATGGCTTGCAAAAGGTGTGTCCACACGGGATTGTGGCCGGGTCAGTGAAAACACCAAGACAGATGGAGCAGAGGAACTGGTCCTCTGACATAGCACGGTACGATGCCATCTCTTCAAGCTGCAGACAAAGGGTTAGAAAACATTGCAATCTGCTGGAGTTCCAAATGAATTAGTCGTTCTTTTCATAGAGGCACAGACAAGCAGTTGTAAAAAGAGACCAGCCTGTAAAAGCCGCATTTATAAAAATGTAACGTTCCGGCCAAAATCTGAAATCTGTACGTTTGAACAAAAAAAAAAAGAAAAGAGGCATCTTTTAACAATGTTCGAGCACAGTCAAAATAAGGTTAAAAAACAGTGGTTATGTACAGTGCAAGTAAGTATTTTCAAAAAAGTGTACAAGCTTAGATAAAATGGCAAAATGACAACGTCAAAATACAAACCAGAAAAAATTAAACTGTCCACCTTGGACACAGACTTGGATAGCCTAAATCAGGCCTAACTCACTCAGCATAACAACAGTGTCAACACACATGAATCAAAGTCTGCACGTGTAGCCTGAGCTTGAACAGACACTCCCAAAAACAGGCTAAACCATCAGACAGGCCTAGGATTTAGACTACACAAAGACTAGTCAAAACATTACAAAATGCTGACACCATTACCAGTTCTCAACTTGGGCAGGAGCTCAACGGAACTGAGTACCAGCACCTCAAATGTTCTACTGCTTGGGCTCCTGTTACTCTTGTAGAATATTATATTAAAAGTATTGTGGAGCTCCTGCACCTAAATATAAACAGTACCAGCACCCAAAATGAGTAAAGGCACCGATTGTAGTCCAAGTCAAGCACTGATCGTTACACATTGAAGACCACATGAATAATAGAATATAACAATTAATCCGTAACTGCACAAACCAATGCATTTTACCAGAGTCAGAGATAATAGAGGTGATGTGCGCATGCACGCACCCTCAAAACAGGAGACGGCGAACTCAAACAGGTTGGCAACAATGATGTATATAAACTCTGGCTTGCTGATGCTATGCATTGACCATCGAGAGCCTTTGAAGCCACCGGTCGGTCATATTGGTACTCCCTTGTAGGAGCAGTACTTCAATTCAATGTTAAGGACAACATTTAATTATTTTTTGTGTGCTGTAGTGGGGACAGTAACATTCGTAATCTCAAAATTATACTTTAAGAGTTGTTTTACATTGATTATTATGTGAGCTAAACAAAATTAACCAAACAAGTATTCATTAAGGTGTCTAATAGAATAAAAATGCAAAAAAAAGGTAGACATTAAACACATTTATATAGCTTCCCAAAGATTTTTTACAATGGTGGGTGAACACCAATAATGAGCAGTTGTGGCTTGAACACAGCACCCAGTCAGTCATCTAGAGTATATATATATATATATATTTAAATAAAAGTGGTTGGCAATGATATATAACTTCGTAAACGATTGATAAACGACTGTTGCAATAAATTGTTAAAATGTTTTACAAAGCAGTTTGTGTAGTCCTTATACTGTAATCTACCTTCTAGCACAAACCATAGGCTGTGTGTGCTACAAACTTCAGATTGTCAAGAGTGCCATGTCTTTGACAGTGGCAAGGAAATCATGCTGCTTTCATAACCAAGTAGGAATTCACCACACGCAAAAATTAAAAATCCACTTGAAAAGACCCTCCAACTTGTAATTACTAGTGGGAGACAAGTCTTTCATCCTGAGCTCCCACATGCTGATGTCACCAACGAAGGAAAGGAAATTACCTTGATAACTGGTTTTTCAGCAGTTAAATGCAACAACAAAACATGTATAAAAGCAGATATAAAAATATTTTTTTATGCCAACTTGTTTACAAGCATGAGAGCTGTATTTTTACTTAATGATTTACACAGCTTGCTGTTTGCCATTAGCCAATCGGAGTTTCTCAACAAGTTCAAAGCATGTGAATGCATCCAGTTGGTATGTGCAACTTCACAAATGGTAAATTCCTACCTCCCACTTATTTACAAACACAGCGTTAGACTAAAAGGCCTTATGAATTCCACATGGGGATGGTGCAGCGTAGTTCACATTTGACAAACACTTTTCCCTTAGTCTTATCACAAGTATTTATTTGAAACTCACCTCTCTGTATGCAGCGCAACACTCAAAAGGAAACAATTTTCCTCTTCTGGGGGGAAAGCAATCTGATGAATTTCTTTAATTGGTTTCAGGTGGCATTTTGTAGACTGGTAAGCTCCTCCCTCTTTCATGAATCAACAAATCAGTGGAAGTTTCATTATGATTCCCTTACCCACATATGTGCTCAACAACCATTGGTTTAGCCCTGCAGGACACAGACTGAAAATCGTTGTAATGCTTTTGGTCCTTTCAAGACAACTGGGAACTCGGTTAAAAACTAGGTCAAAACTTCTGTGATCTTCAAATCGGAAAGTCTGAGCTTTAGAAAGAGTTCCCAGCTTGGACTTCCGAGTTGGATGACCATTCAAAACTATTTATCCCGTCAGGGCAATCGTCAGTTGCTACATCCCTTTTTGGACATTCTTGAAGAATATAACTTATCAATTAAATTAAATCAAATTGTATTTGTCATATGCGCCGAATACAACAGGTGTAGACCTTACCGTGAAATGCTTACTTAATGCAGTTCAAGAAAGAGTTAAGAAAATATTTACTAAATAATGTAAAAAATGAAATAAAAATAAAAAGTAACACAATAAAATAACAATGCAGTTCAAGAAAGAGTTAAGAAAATATTTACTAAATAATGTAAAAAATGTAATAAAAATAAAAAATAACACAATAAAATAACAATGACGAGGCTATATACAGGGGGTACAGGTACCAGTCAATGAGCGAGGGTAAAGGTTAGTCAAGGTAATTTGTACGTGTACGTAGGGGTAAAGTGACTATGCATAGATAATAAACAGCGAGTGTAAAAACAAAGAGGGTCTCAATGTAAGTAGAAGCTGTTAAGGAGCCTTTTGGTCCTAGATTTGGCGCTCCGGTACCGCTTGCCGTGCGGTAGCAGAGAGAACAGTCTATGACTTGAGTGACTGGATACTTTGACCATTTTTGGGGCCTTCCTCTGACACCGCCTAGTATATAGGTCCTGGATGTCAGGAAGCTTGGCACCAGTGATCTACTGGGCCGTACGCACTAGCCTCTGTAGCGCCTTAAGGTCAGATGCCGAGCAGTTGCCATACTAGGCGGTGATGCAACCAATCCGGATGCTCTCGATGGTGCAGCTGTATAACTTTTTGAGGATCTGGGGACCCATGCCAAATCTTTTCAGTCTCCTGAGGGGGAAAGGTGTTGTCGTGCCCTCTTCATGACTGTCTTGGTGATGTGGACACCAACGAACTTGAAACTCTCGACCCGCTCCACTACAGCCCCGTCGATGTTAATGGGGGCCTGTTCGGCCTGCCTTTTCCTGTAATCCATGATCAGCTCCTTTGTCTTGCTCACATTGAGGGAGAGGTTGTTGTACTGGCACCACACTGCCAGGTCTCTGACCTCCTCTCTGCCTCATCGTTGTCGGTGATCAGGCCTACCACTGTTGTGTCGTCAGCAAACTTAATGATGGTGTTGGAGTCATGTTTGGCCACGCAGTCGTGGGTGAACAGGGAGTATAGGAGGGGACTAACCACGCACCCCTGAGGGGCCCCAGTGTTGAGGATCAGCGTGGCAGATGTGCTGTTGCTTACCCTTACCAACTGGGGGCGGCCCGTCAGGAAGTCCAGGATCCAGTTGCAGAGGGAGGTGTTTAGTCCCAGAGTCCTTTGCTTAGTGATGAGCTTTGTGGGCACTATGGTGTTTAGTTCAGCTGTCGTACACTTTCAGAGCCCTATACAACGAATCAGATCAGAGGAGTTAGCGAGGTAACTTTGGTCAACACTGAGTTCAACCTGGGATGACCGGTACTACCCATACAGAAAAGTAATATGGCAATCTATGTATATTACTGATGTTTTATATGGGCATATATGGTGGAAACATATATGCCCATATATGCTTATATATGTACAGTGCCTTGCAAAAGTATTCATCCCCCTTGGCGTTTTTCCTATTTTGTTGCATTACAACCTGTAATTTAAATGTATTTTTATTTGGATTTCATGTAATGGACATAGACAAAAT